ACAATATCAGGAACCCATATCATTTCATAAGGCACATAAAGTACGCTGACACCTCCATAGCTTTTCGGATCCCATGACAACTTCTTGTCGATCCAAACTTGCTTAAGCCATACCGAGCATGTCATGATTTGGTCAATTTCGTGCTAAAAACCAATTTCACTTAGAATTTAACAAGCAGCAAGTTGGATTCGCCATTACCACATCTATAATTTGGCTCAGACGCAATTTCAATTTGATTGTTAGCGGTTCATGTGGTCCGGTAGCTGGTCTAAGAAATAAAACAATTAAAATGGGCATTTTCCATAATATTTGCGAATTACTTACCTTCTATGGCGATTATAATTGACCATGAGGTCATCATAAAGACGCTTAGCATCTTCATTGCCGTAGACGAAGACGAGCATGGATAGAAAAAATAACAATAGGTTCATCATTTTAGATCTTAGCAGCGTTGAGATAAATTTCAGTGAGTAGTAACTATCAAATGTAGAAGTATCGAGTCTTATGTATCTACCACTCTAAGGTGATAAATTCCATCTCTTCACTTGGAATGAAAGTGTCCTTATTGTAGAGCTCCTGAATCAAGTTTTGTTTCATCTATGGAAGAAAAAGTTCAAATAATTAGGCGATTCGGAAAATGTTAGAGAATGTAAGTGCATATGTATTAAAACAAATGCTCGGTAATATTTAAGTTTACAAAAATTAAAACGGTTAAGCCAACGGTGACTTATTCTCAAAGGTTCTGCATCAATATGGCAACAATGCATAGAATTGAAACAAATAGATGATGTTAAGGTTGTTGTTGGTTGTTATCAGATAATTTACAATTTTTTCTTTTGTTCAACAACGTTGAATCAAAGTTGAAAATATTGGTAAATGCAGAAAATGCTGCTTCGAAAAATAGATAATGGATTGGGAGTGACGCACTAGTGTGGCTTATACCAGCTTCTCTCCTGTGATTCTCTTACCTAATCCACCTTCTAGGAAAGTAGCGCAAGAACATGATTTTAAATCCAGTAGGGAGAATTTTCAAGTATAATAGCAATAAATTAAATTAATAAGGAGAAAACAAATTGGTAATGTAAACATTTAATATAACTTTATGGTCATCTGTCAAATTTGACGTTATAAGGTGATTTCGAAGGTGGGTTTTTCAATTTAAGACAACATAGATCCGTCTGACAAACCATTAAAGCATATTTTTATTTTAATAGCATACGTTTGTTCATGATAGAAAAAATGCAAAATATCGTAGTTTAAAGAATAATATGATATAGTTGCTTAACTAATGTATGCTTAACTCTAACCACACTTCCTAATATAAACACTATAGTACAAGTTGGAGATGAGATCGATAACACTTCGAGAAAACCAATTTTGCAGCAGTGTTCCAGACAACACATATATAATGAAATTTTCGCTGCAACAAGGATTTTTTCCATGGCTTTTCAATTTCGAAATGTTACAGCTTTGATGAATTCTAATGCCTGACGCCTCTGAGTTTTTTTTTTTGAAGCAAACGAAAATGCCTTGTACGTGTTACTAAGAGATTTGACTATATTATTTGATCCCGTCAAAATGATTTTTACTCCTAATCTAGAGGCGGCCTGCAAAAATATCGAGCATTTAATAGCACTGAAAAAAGATATGGTTTTCATAGAATTTGCAGAAGTGGATTCCTTTCTTCTAACTTTGATGAGGTAACGACGCCCAATCGGATTGAATACCACATTAGGAGCA